CGCTCGATATTTTAAGTCTATTACTCTTTATATGTGATCCTTTGTGCTAACTCTTTTATCAAAATTGATATGCAAACTAACAATAGATACTCTCTCTTTTGGCGCGTCGCGTTGATTATGTTTATAGGGGTGTGGAGGCTTTCTAGAAAATTCCGTTTTATGTAACAATACTGAGCTACATTTAAACGTTTACGTACATAAATATATTTTTGATTCTTACTCTCGGGAATCTTTTACAGCTTTGGAGAACAGACAGAAGTTTCGCAATACATATTTAACACTATAAGTTATGTATGTTTTTAAATATAAACTTAATCTAAACAAACGTGGATATTAAAATAAATATATAAAAACAAATTCGTTACAATCTATACACAAAGTACGATTCTACGTGTTTTAAACACCTTGTTTGTGAATTACTTCTTAAAGTACCTATACACAAGATAAGACTCTACATGTTTTAAACACCTTGTTTGTGAATGATTTCTTAAAGTAACTATACACAAGATAAGACTCTACATGTTTTAAACACCTTGTTTGTGAATTATTTCTTAAAGTAACTATACACAAGGTAAGACTCTACGTGTTTTAAACAACATGTTTATGAATTACATGTTTTAAACAACATGTTCGTGAATCACTTCTTGAAGCACCTATACACAAGTTAAGAATCTACATGTTTTAATCAACATGTTCGTGAATTACTCTTGAAGTACTTATACACAAGGTTAGACTCTACATGTTTTAAACACTATGTTCGTGAATCACTTCTTGAAGCACCTATACACAAGTTAAGAATCTACATGTTTTAATCAACATGTTCGTGAATTACTCTTGAAGTACTTATACACAAGGTTAGACTCTACATGTTTTAAACACTATGTTCGTGAATCACTTCTTGAAGCACCTATACACAAGTTAATATATGCACAGTTCCTTCTAGAAACGAACAGTACCACATGTTACGGTGTTATATATGTACAGTTCCTTCTAGAAACGAACAGCACCACATGTTACAGTTCCTTCTCCAGGTTTCTTTATTCAGAAGATTTTACGGAATAAATGGATGGTTGAAAGAGGGTTCTTTCTATCGCGCGTGCACAAGAGCAGAGCGTGTGGGTAAGGATTCCCCAGGAATAGTTAACGAACATAGTGTTTAAAACATGTAGGTTCTTACCTTGTGTATAGGTACTTCAAGAAGTAATTCACGAACATGTTGTTTAAAACATGTAGATTCTAACACCGTAACATGTGGTACTGTTCGATTTTAGAAGGAACTGTAACATGTGGTACTGTTCGTTTCTAGAAGGAACTGTGCATATACAACACCGTAACATGTGGTACTGTTCGATTTTAGAAGGAACTGTACATATATAACACCGTAACATGTGGTACTGTTCGATTCTAGAAGGAACTGTGCATATACAACATCGTAACATGTGGTACTGTTCGTTTCTAGAAGGAACTGTGCATATATAAAACCGTAACATGTGGTACTGTTCGTTTCTGAGACTGTATGTACATAGACTCTATGCTGAGACTGTATGTATATAGACTGTATGCTGAGACTGTATGTACATAGACTGTATTCTGAGACTGTATGTACATAGACTGTATGCTGAGACTGTATGTACATAGACTGTATTCTGAGACTGTATGTACATAGACTGTATTCTGAGACTGTATGTATATAGACTGTATGTACATAGACTGTATGTACATAGACTGTATTCTGAGACTGTATGTACATAGACTGTATTCTGAGACTGTATGTACATAGACTGTATTCTGAGACTGTATGTATATAGACTGTATGTACATAGACTGTATGCTGAGACTGTATGTACGTAGACTGAATTCTGAGACTGTATGTACATAGACTGTATGCTGAGACTGTATGTACATAGACTGTATTCTGAGACTGTATGTACATAGACTGTATTCTGAGACTGTATGTACATAGACTGTATTCTGAGACTGTATGTATATAGACTGTATGTACATA